AATGGGTCAATGGAAAAGTATACTGTATGTTCATATATAAAATGGTGATTACTGCATATAAAAGAAACGGGAGAGGTCATCCTCTTTCTGCTATACTGAACTGCAGATTCTTCAGCATTGGATCTTGAGTAAAGTCATTGGTGCGATGAATATTGCATATCTGTTTCTTTCTTGTTGCTGGTGGAACAGCTGTTGTCCTAATAAATTGAGCAGTTTCTCGATCACTAAGCTTCTTAACCACTCTTTGACCTTTGTAAATCTTGCAGCACTGTAAAAGAATATTCATGAGAATTTTTTACTTTTCAAAATTACCAGGTATGTAACATAAGGTTCCTCAAGCTGAATCCTCAAAATAATATTAACAACTCATTTCCTGGAAATTCTCAACATAAGTTTAAGTTTGAATATGCCTATCTTAATATTTTTCATAGTTGTTTTTGTAATTAATATTCAAACAACCAAAAGTTTGGCATTGTTCCAAAGCATGACTATTGGTTTGTCATAACACTCAGTTGCAGTGAAGTACAGTGCAGTACAGGGGGTCCCCGGGTTACGAACAGGTTCCATTCCTGAGGAAGTTCTTAAGTCGGAAATGTACGTAAGACGGAACACATGCTATGTGCATACCGTACTTACAGAGCAATGTTTAAAATCCCACTATATCATAGCCTAAGTCTTTATATACATCTAAAATCACTTAATTTAAGAGAAAAGAAGAAATAGAATGACAAAATACAATAAATGAAAGTAAAAAATAAGTCATCAGGTAAATAAAATACTGTAAGTTTCAAGTTTAACCCCATTCGTATCAGCGGGCTTTCGTAAGTCAGACGTTCGTAAGTTGAGGACCCCTGTATATGGAAAAAATGGTTTCGCGTTGCAGAAAGATTTCCTTAGGAACGGAACCCTTCTGTAGCCCGGGGTATGCCTACGGTATACAGGAAAGCCTCCGAAAACGACGCTTCTACTAACGACGATTCATATTTAAGACCCTGGTTTATTTAGGACCCAATTCAATCTACACCGTTATTTCCTTCGTATTTACGACGAAAATATAATAAAAAATAAAATAAAATTACAATTTCATATAAATAATAACTAAATCCCAATGTATATTATAAAAAAAAAAAACATGCCTTGCGCATGGAGGCTGCAGGGCATGTGAGTGGTGATGCCAGCATCACTAGTATAAACAGTCACAGCTTGGCGGGCCTTTTGGTTTCGTGCATCTGAACAGGAAAAGGAGAAAACTTTCTCGGGTTTCTTACAGCATTTTTGCTTCCCTATTTAGCATAAGCAAGAGAGCAAGTGATGGTAGTGCTGATTCAAAAGCTAAAAGAAAGTGTATAAGCTTGGCCGAGAAACAAGATGTGTTAAAACGCTATGAAAAAGGTGAGAGGTCTGTAGATATTATATGCAGCAAGCAATGAACATATTTTCTGAAGTGGATCCATTAACTGAACGAAGCATTAAAATTAACAGGGACGTGAAAACGCATATGACCCCTACATAAAGATATATAATGAGAAAAAATGCAGCTATGCAAGGTTCTATCAACGGCTTTATTATTCAAAGGCCTAAACCATCAACTTCAGCTACACCATCTGCTCTCCTATTGCACCCATCTTTGGTCATCCTCTCTTAGGGACTATGGGGAAACTTTTGTCGTGGCCCTCGACATCTCCAAAGCATTTGACAGGGTATGGCACAAGTCTTTGCCATCTAAACTTCCCTCCTTTGGTTTCTCTCCCCCACTTTGTTCTCTCATCTCTAGCTTCCTTGAGAACCGATCCATGGCAGTTGTTGTCGAGGGATCGATTTCTCGCTCTTTCTCAACCAATAGTGGCGTCCCACAGGGTTCTGTTCTTTCACCAACTCTCTTCCTTCTTTTTATCAATGATTTACTTCACACTAAAACTAATTCTATCCATTCTTACGCCGATGATTCTACTCTTCACTCTTTCTCACATTTTCCCCTTCCTCCTAACTCTCAAACTAGATCTGTTTCTAGAACTGATATCATTACTTCTATCAATGCGGATCTGTGCAGCATCTCTGAATGGGGAGATACAAACATGGTTAAGTTCAATAGTAATAAAACTCAATATTTACCAATTACACTTTGTAAATTAGACGATCTCCCACCAATTACATTTCAGGACGCTATCATCCTCCCAAATTCTGAAATAAATATGTTAGGCCTCACCATTTCCTCCAATATGTCCTGGAAATCACACATCCTTAGTATAACTAAAGCTGCCTCCCGAAAGTTGGGAATGCTGTACAGATGCCGCAGCTATTTCACTCCTGAGCAGTTGCTCCAAGTATATAAGGGATTCATTCGTCCTAACTTGGAGTACTGCTCTCATATCTGGGGTGGCTCTTCTGTCCAACTACAGTATTAGATAGGGTGGAATCAAAGGCATTTCGTCTTATTAACTCTCCTCTTTTAGTCGACAATCTCTCTTCCCTTTCTCTTCGCCGCAATGTTGCTTCACTCTCTCTCTTTTACAGGTACTTTAACGGGCAATGTTCAGTGGATTTGGCATCCTGTGTACCGCCGGCAAGGCCGTGGGTTCGTAACACACGTCTTGCTTGCGGTGCCCACCGTTTCTCCGTGGATCTCGGTCACACGAGAATAACCCGTTATAGTACTTCCTTCTTTCCTCACACAGTCAAGCTGTGGAATGCTCTGCCTTCTTCTGTGTTTCCATGCTCTAACAATCTGTCTCACTTTAAAAAGCTGGTTTTCCGGCATCTTCGTGGTGTAGATTAATACGGTATAACCTTTTTTCTATATTTACAATTTCTTTCCGTTCTTTTTTTTTCGCCCCCCAGGCTCCGTTGTGGGTCGTTTAACCTGTGCCCGGGTGGGCTAATTCCCGTAAAAAAAAAAAAGCAGCTGCACCATCAAATTCAGCATTAGCAGCAGCTTCAGGAACTGCAGGTTCAGTAACAGTTTCAGCAACAGCTATGACATCTTTATGGAAAGCTACAGCTTCAGCCAGAGTTGAACCTTACGAGTTCGTCATCTGAGTATAAACTCACACAACAGCATTCATTGGCTGTCCTTATGTTTTCGACTTTACCACCATTGGTGAGTAGAATTTTTGTTTTACATTCGTAAGTATTATTTAAAACCTATATTAACAGTAATAAGAGTTGCTTTCATATTCTTATGTAGAGAAATTATGATATGGTTTCACATGTAGGTACTTACTTACATTGGCGTTGCGCAGTCTTGCTTTTTTTTTTTTTGTATTTACAATTAGTGGTTAGGTTGTAGTGGATTTCTCCCCTACAAACGCTGTTTGTCGCTGCATAGCCGACCCCACGAATTCCACAGTGTGTGCCTCGTGGTCTAGGTCAACCAGTGCCGCCATACATCACGGAGCGGGGGTCAACTACTAAGCCACGCCTAACCCCCGCTATTTAAGACCTGACCTCGTGGTGACCTCTCTCTTTCTACCTACACCAACCAGCTAGCAACACCTCATCCTCCTCCGCCTGCCTGGCGGTCCTCGCTCCCGCCGGAGAGCATGGCGACCCACAAGCTGGTCCTCCTCTGAGCATCCTCACCAACCAGCTCTCTCTACATCACGCTTGTAACCATGCTGCCTTCCCGGCACCAAGCTGCATTGTACATCCAATACAACATGTATATAGAGAGCACATTGTGAGTTTCCTTTCTCCATTCCATCCTGAGTTTGAACCAAACAATCTTGAACCCCACAAATGGTGACTCCCGGAGATTCGCACTCACACAGGATGGAGGAGAAACTGATCACGCTCCCAGTCTTCAAGCAACATGGAAGACTGGATTATCCAAACAGAAGCAGCTCTCATCGGTTCTACAACTACTGTCTCTACACAGCAGGTTAGACACCCTAGAGCAGCACTGTTTCTCTAATCAGACACCAGCGCCTCTTCCTGCCCCAAGCACCACATCCTACCGACCCCAGCACACCCGTCCTGCCTCAGACGCCGACCCCAGCCCAGCAGTAACCCCTGCCGCCCCTGATGCGGCCCCTGCTCCTGACGAGGACCAACACACCCGTTCTGCCTCGGACGCCGACCCCGGCCCAGCAGTACCCCCTGCCGCTTCTCCTGACGCGGCCCCTGTTCCTGAGTGCGGACCCACACACCCCTCTTTTCTCCCTCAGGTACTCCCTGCTAATGTCCTGCACCCTGCTGCTGTCGTGGACCCAGCTGCTGTCACGAGCCCTCATCCGCTTCTGCTGACACAGCCCCTGCTCCTGACCCAGGCCCACACACCCCAGCAGGCGCATCTGACGACTCTGTACCTGCCGTGAGGGAAGCACAACATTCATCGCCTCCACACACCCTTTTTCTCCCTCTCTACTCCCACAGATATTGTGTATCTAGACAGTTGTCTCCAGCGACCCGCTCATCCACGCCATCGCCGTTGTCTTACATGAGGCATGCACCGCCCGTTCTGCCTCACATGTGCTATGCAACCCTGCAGACAACAAGTCTCCTACACCGCCTGGAGGGAAGGGGGAGTATTGTAGTGGATTTCTCCCCTACAAACGCTGTTTGTCGCTGCATAGCCGACCCCACGAATTCCACAGTGTGTGCCTCGTGGTCTAGGTCAACCAGTGCCGCCATACATCACGGAGCGGGGGTCAACTACTAAGCCACGCCTACCCCCCGCTATTTAAGACCTGACCTCGTTGTGACCTCTCTCTTTCTACCTACACCAACCAGCCAGCAACACCTCTTCCGCCTGCCTGGCGGTCCTCGCTCCCGCCGGCAAGCATGGCGACCCACAAGCTGTCCTCCTGTGAGCACCCTCACCAACCAGCTCTCTCTACATCACGCTTGTAACCATGCTGCCTTCCCAGCACCAAGCTGCATTGTACATCCAATACAACATGTATATAGAGAGCACATTGTGAGTTTCCTTTCTCCACCCCATCCTGAGTGTGAATACAAACAATCTCATACCCCACAAGGTACTTCTAATGTTCCATTCATTAACATTAAATACCATTACTTAAAACATACATATTCATTTTTTACATTAATTTTACTACAGCTACAACTAGGGTCTTATTTTTTTCAGTTTCATATGTAGAACCATCATCAAGGGTGTAAACACTAACGAAAACAATGTCGTCTCGTCTCCTCTTGTGTATTTTAATTTTCTACATATTATTAATGAATTGTATTGTTCATTTTGCATATATAAACATTAATTCAATCAATTACATAATCATTAATGCGGGTAAATAATAATGAATCTTTTGTACATATTCTTAAGATATATTACGCCGTTTCCTTGAGTGCGCACGTATACGTTGACATTCCGCTATCAGTTTCACTTTTTTCTTTACCATCGGTGGTTACTTCTACTGTATATTAATTTACACATACCGGTACATATTTTTTTACGTTAATTTTACTACAGCAACAACCAGGGTCCTATTTCTTTCAGTTTCAGATGGGTAACTGACGACGTTATTTTTGTTCAATCCAGAATGCGACGTCTAGCTTCATTTGTACAGACACATCCTAAATAGGATGGGGATACCATTCCTCAAATGGAGAGTTCCTTCAAGGGAAGTGGAGCAACTCCCTTTGGGACAAACACAAACAAAAAATTAGCAGTAGTCCTATTCTTTTTGTTGGCAAACCCAAATTTCAAAAACATGACGATTCTGTTTGCCATGGACAACAGAAAGGCAGTGTTTTGTCTCAATCAAGGCTCAACCAGATCTTGGCCTCTTCTAAACCTATCGGAAATTTTTTTCAAAGTTTGTGTAACGCAAACACTTTACCTCAAAGCAACTCACATACCGGAAGTACAAAACAATTGGGCAGATGCGTTGTCCCGTCTAAGGCCAGTGTAGGGTTATGAGATATTGGTTCACTCTCAGGATGGGTTGGAGAAAGGAAACTCACGATGTGCTCTCTCTATACATATTGTATTGGATGTACAATGCAGCTTGGTGCTAGGTAGGCAGCATGGTTACATGCGTTGAGTAGAGAGAGCTGGTTGGTGAGGGTGCCCAGAGGAGGGCACGCAGCTTCAGGGACGCCATGGTCGCCGCCAGGCTGGAGCTGAGGAGGAGGTGGTGTTGCTTGTTGGTGGCTGTAGGTAGAAAGAGGGTGGTCACGGCGGGGTGAGGTCTTATAAGGCGGGGGTAGGCGTGGGTTGATAGTTGACCCCCGCTACGTCAGGCGGCGCTGGAGGTGCAGGCTGGGTAATTCAAAGAGGGTCGGCTACTCAGCGACAAACGGCGTTTGTAGGGGAGGAATCCACTACACCAGTATCAACAGAAACAGAATGGTCCCTAAAGATATAGAAGTTCAAGAGTTTAGTGAGGAGGTTTGGGACTCCACAAATAGATCTCTTTGCCTCACAAAATGTTGCCCAAAGTGGTTCACAAACTCAGATCCTTCTTAATTGCACCATATTGGATCCTACAACCATGGTGTCTCGATCTGTTGGACTGGTGCCTGCATCCACTACAATTGCAACAGGGATATATAGAACAGGTACTGCACCCTCAGTTCGAGATATCCTTGGCACTTCACGCTTGCAGTTTCTCGAAAGATGTTTAAATAGATTGTTGGGTAATTCCAATATCGTTAACCAAGTGATAGCAGGTCATAGGCCCCAAACTTCTATGCAATATGAGAAAGCTTTGAAACTTTTTCAACAATTTATCAGGTTAGCGACTCCAATCACATTGTCGGACACAGTGGTGTTAGAATTTTTAGATTTTCTGTTCAGAGTTAAAGGCCTTCAAGGATCAACAATTGCATCTTATAAATCAGCATTGGTTGACCCTCTGGCATTGAGTTTTAATATTACTTTGAACCCAAGAATTTATCAAATGCTCAGATCATCCTTAGAGAATCCCACCTTGGTCTCTAGATAAAGTTATTAAATTTTTTAAAGGGGCCTAATTACGATATAAATCTGCATTATTTAAAGAATATAGTTTGCATTTTTTATTAACTTTATTGTTTGGGGGGAAAAGAGGGTAAAAAGTCACGCAAAAGATATGAAAAGGTCAGACTTTGAAACGTATCTCACTCTTATTACTTTACAGTATTTTAAAGGTAATCAATGATTCACAACACGATGATTTACCTTACACTGCATTATTGGAGGACACATTACTGTCGTTATTCGAGGCTTTATTGTACAGGGTACTGTATCTGCCCAAAATTTTAAGGTCCCAATGTGCCGGACTGGTTTCACCCTGTAAATGTATTTTGACAGGTCGCGGCACCTCTAGTCTATACCTGAAGTTAAACAAATGAAAACTTCCATATATATATATATATATATATATATATATATATATATATATATATATATATATATATATATATATATATATATATATATATATATATATATATATATATATATATATATATATATATATATATATGTAATATTCAGAAATTTCAGAGCAAGTTCAAATGCCCCGCCATGAGTGATACTGAGCGTTCAAGGTCATCTGAGGGGAGGGAGCGCTGCCTGCTCGTAGCGAGAGATTGCGGAACTAGGCCTATATGATATTAAATGTGATTTACCGAATTAATAATGATGCGATTCATGAAGTTAAGGGACTATTATTGAATTTGAAATTATTATAGATCATTTAGCAGTCTGAATAATGTTACGGGTGTCCCAAGGAGTTATTAGTTAGGCGGTAAATATATCACGTAGGACCAAGCTAACGCCTTGAGAGGACACGAGGCGGGTTCTCTCCCAGTCCCGGAGAGCATTCACACAGACAAGACGTTCCGCGCGTCCATCAGAAATAGTCACGTGGCCTAGTCACCTGTGCTGCGCTATTGCAGTATAACAAGGTTTCCGTCAGAACCCACTTGATTGGAGTTGACCGGAGTTGATTGGAGTTGACTGGAGTTGACTGGAGTTGACCGGAGTTGACTGCGAGAGATTGACTGCCGTTGATGATTGAGGGTGGCGATTGTCGCCATTGGACCGATCAGTGTAGGCCTGTCACTGTTTAGCGGGGTAGCAAAGGATCTCTTGAGTGAACGAGTGCTCCCGACAACTAACACGACACGGGACCAGCATCAGCAGTGGGTGATCAGTTCTTACCACTCCGGTGCACAACCCCACATGTCCCGAGCAGCTAGTGAAACCCTCTTGCTAACGGGAAGCTAAAGTTTCTCTCAACTGCGCAAGGTCTGATTGGCTCACTCTCTTCCTGCCCATGGACGCACTGGGAGTACACTGAGGCTATCTGAGTATATTAATGGTCACACACTGAGACCGTGAGTCTAGGACTCTAGGAGATACCTAGAGGAACATTTTATCTTCCTTATCACGGGTGTAGTTAACACCATTCCTCAGACTGATATTATCTTGACGTGTGTAGTTTAATATTTCTTAAATAATTTTGATAGTAGTGTTTTTTTGAATGTTTGTGCCATTAAGTGGAACCAGAGTGATACTGTGATTTGATTCTTTTAATGCCTCTAATTCTTCATAATTCTGATCTCAGGTATAACCTTGTTCCCCAGAGCAGTGGTTAGGTTAGGTTAGGAAGTGTACACCTGTTGGGGTGCTATAATTTTGTTGAGTGATATTATTTTGCTGAAAGCCCTTAGGGCCTATTCATTGTAGAGTATTTAATTTCTTATCTTTTATTACCATTCCTCAGTGACTGATATTATTTTGTTGAAGACCCTTAAGGCCTATTCATTGTGGAGTATTTAATTTCTTATTTTTTAGTACCATTTCCTAAGTGACTGATATTATTTTGTGAAAGCCCTTAAGGCCTGTTCATATGTGCAATTAACATTTCTTAATACTTTAAATTTATTGTTGCCTGTGTTTCTAATAATTTCTATGTCATGTATAACTTTTATTCCCCAGAGTAGTGGTTAAAGTTTAAGTTAAGAGGTGCGCATATTGGTGTACCATTATTTGATTGTGTTTGTAGTGTTGGAGGGAATATAAGTGTCTAAATTTTACAGTGTGTCTCATTCATCCCAGTCACAGACGCTATCCTTCCACGGGTCACGGACAGTTCATTTTGTGTAGTAGATTTAAGTGTTCTTGTGCTGGTTCGGGATTTTTCTCAAAGGGGCGCTTCCACTGCCTTTACCATCTATTAAATTTTAATAAACCCCAAGTCAAGTGAGAAATTAAAGTCCAGCAAATTCCGACCGGTTACAAATGGTAGCAGAGCGTAGTTTTTAATGTCGTGACTGATAGTACTGTGGTTGGGATAATGAACGCCATCATGTGTTGGTTAGCAATGGTAGGGATTGAACTCGCACTGATGCTCATCCTTGTGCCCGGACTGAGTTGGTTAGGCTTGACAATAGAGATGTGTATGAGGAGGAAGAGAGACGGCCGCGGGACCTTGGTACAGCTGAGAGAGGAGTTCGGAGACCTAAAGAGGGATTATCAAGCACAGGTAAACAGGTTCAAGTGGGAGTCTCAGGCACACATTCAACGGTTCAGGGAGGAAACAAGGGGTGAATGTCAGGCACACGTCCAGCAGTCAAGGAAGTGTGAGGTCCAAGTGGGAAATATAGGGGTACGTAAGTAGTTCAGAGAGGTTGATCGAGCCCTCCAGCTGAGAGACAAGACGAAGCCGACCGATTACAGTTTAGGGTGCATGGTAATGAGAAAAGGCAGGTCGTACGGGGTGAGTTGGAGGAGTTGTGAGTAGGGCAGAGGGGATTGGAGAGATGGTTAGGTCAGAGATGTGCGTTGAGTAGTGGTTGCTGTCATGAGCGGGATTGAGTTGCTGTCATGAGCGGGATTGAGAGTACGGTTGTAATGTCCAGGGCCTCACTAAGATGGACTGGTACATTGTCAGAGGGTTGGTCTGCCGGCATGAGGTTCGGAGACGTGGACTGAGTATTTTTTTGACATTGGTTCTCTAGTTAAGGGCCAGGCAAAAGGGGAGCGTGATGTTCTGGTTGGTATTGAGTTGGGCTAGGAAGAAATGGAGTTGCTAGCTGCGAGTGGAATAGTACAGAGTTGAAGGTGGGTTCTAAGTTGTTCTCTCAGCACATGAGGGCAGTGCTGTCTTTTTTAGGGGGGTCGAGTGTTAGCGGGAGAGAAAAGGAGAGAAGAGAAGACGGGAATGCTGCATTTAGCAAAAGGGGTGAGGTGCAGTCCTTAGAACAAAATTTTAGGGGGGTCGTATGCATGTTTTCTCAGCACATGAGGACAGTGCTGTCTTTTTTTAGGGGGGTCGATTGTAATATTCAGAAATTTCAGAGCAAGTTCAAATGCCCCGCCATGAGTGATACTGAGCGTTCAAGGTCATCTGAGGGGAGGGAGCGCTGCCTGCTCGTAGCGAGAGATTGCGGAACTAGGCCTATATGATATTAAATGTGATTTACCGAATTAATAATGATGCGATTCATGAAGTTAAGGGACTATTATTGAATTTGAAATTATTATAGATCATTTAGCAGTCTGAATAATGTTACGGGTGTCCCAAGGAGTTATTAGTTAGGCGGTAAATATATCACGTAGGCCCAAGCTAACGCCTTGGGGAGACACGACGCTGGCTAGCCCAGTCCCGGAGAGCATTCACACAGACAAGACGTTCCGCGCGTCCATCAGAAATAGTCACGTGGCCTAGTCACCTGTGCTGCGCTATTGCAGTATAACAAGGTTTCCGTCAGAACCCACTTGATTGGAGTTGACTGGAGTTGACCGGAGTTGACTGCGAGAGATTGACTGCCGTTGATGATTGAGGGTGGCGATTGTCGCCATTGGACCGATCAGTGTAGGCCTGTCACTGTTTAGCGGGGTAGCAAAGGATCTCTTGAGTGAACGAGTGCTCCCGACAACTAACACGACACGGGACCAGCATCAGCAGTGGGTGATCAGTTCTTACCACTCCGGTGCACAACCCCACATGTCCCGAGCAGCTAGTGAAACCCTCTTGCTAACGGGAAGCTAAAGTTTCTCTCAACTGCACAAGGTCTGATTGGCTCACTCTCTTCCTGCCCATGGACGCACTGGGAGTACACTGAGGCTATCTGAGTATATTAATGGTCACACACTGAGACCGTGAGTCTAGGACTCTAGGAGATACCTAGAGGAACATTTTATCTTCCTTATCACGGGTGTAGTTAACACCATTCCTCAGACTGATATTATCTTGACGTGTGTAGTTTAATATTTCTTAAATAATTTTGATAGTAGTGTTTTTTGAATGTTTGTGCCATTAAGTGGAACCAGAGTGATACTGTGATTTGATTCTTTTAATGCCTCTAATTCTTCATAATTCTGATCTCAGGTATAACCTTGTTCCCCAGAGCAGTGGTTAGGTTAGGTTAGGAAGTGTACACCTGTTGGGGTGCTATAATTTTGTTGAGTGATATTATTTTGCTGAAAGCCCTTAGGGCCTATTCATTGTAGAGTATTTAATTTCTTATCTTTTATTACCATTCCTCAGTGACTGATATTATTTTGTTGAAGACCCTTAAGGCCTATTCATTGTGGAGTATTTAATTTCTTATTTTTTAGTACCATTTCCTAAGTGACTGATATTATTTTGGGAAAGCCCTAAGGCCTGTTCATATGTGCAATTAACATTTCTTAATACTTTAAATTTATTGTTGCCTGTGTTTCTAATAATTTCTATGTCATGTATAACTTTTATTCCCCAGAGTAGTGGTTAAAGTTTAAGTTAAGAGGTGCGCATATTGGTGTACCATTATTTGATTGTGTTTGTAGTGTTGGAGGGAATATAAGTGTCTAAATTTTACAGTGTGTCTCATTCATCCCAGTCACAGACGCTATCCTTCCACGGGTCACGGACAGTTCATTTTGTGTAGTAGATTTAAGTGTTCTTGTGCTGGTTCGGGATTTTTCTCAAAGGGGCGCTTCCACTGCCTTTACCATCTATTAAATTTTAATAAACCCCAAGTCAAGTGAGAAATTAAAGTCCAGCAAATTCCGACCGGTTACATATATATATATATATATATATATATATATATATATATATATATATATATATATATATATATATATATATATATATATATATATATATATATATATATATATATATATATATATATATATATATATATATATATATATATATATATATATATATATATATATATACAGTGGGGTATGCTATAACGAACAGATCCTACTACGAATATTCCTATAACGAACGGTTTTACCTATAAAATTGAGAATGCTATAACGAACGAAACTCCTACAACGAACATTATTTAAAAATTTTTTTTTTTCTAATTTATTGTTTTTTTATTACAAATATTAATGATATTCTTTATTTCAGGGGTTTATATGCATATTTATGCACTTTTTTACAATTTTTACAATTTTATATTATATTTTTCAGTGTTAAGTGGTTGTATTTGGGGGCCTGGAACGGATTAATCCTATAACGAACGAATGCTGTAACGAACAAGGTTCTAGAACCAATTAGATTCATTATAGCATACCCCACTGTATATATATATATATATATATATATATATATATATATATATATATATATATATATATATATATATATATATATATATATATATATATATATATATATATATATATATATATATATATATATCACAATTACAATCATACCTCAAATGGAATAAACACATTCCTTTCAGCAGGAGACACTTGTACACAGTTCAACTTTGGAAACTTAATTTTTTTTCCATATTGGTTCTTGAAGTAGTTTTCAATGGTGCAGTAAACTGTGTTCCCAGTATTCTCATCTTTTAAAGGAAATGTTTGTTTCTCGGCAGAATGTTCTGAAACATCTATAATCTTGTAAGTGCGAGGGATATTGGAGTGTGTAACTTGCACCTGAAATATAAAAGTTACTTTAATTGGTGAGGTTTTGCAGAGAGGTAGAGTTATATGGTTTGGGCGTGTGGAGAGAATGGAGAAACCATTTGAGTCAAGGGATGCAGGAGTTTGAATATGGAGGGGAGGAGAACAAGGAATAACAAACAGAGGATGTGAGAAATGTCAAAGATATTAATCTGACAAAAGAGGAATGAAGACACAATGCACCTTGTTAAGTTGCCTACAGATAATCACAGCTAACTTATATAAGCACAATAAATGGTTGTAAAACATTAATGATGATGTGGATGATGATTAAAACATTATACAATCACCCACAAAAGTCCTGTCACCTCTCCTCTTGAAACACAAACCCCGACATTTACTCATGAATCCAAAGCATTTTTGGACAGAATAATGCATCAGTTTCTACTGCTTCAGGTTCACGAGTCTAAATCTCTTGGGTTGTAACTAATTCCATAAGAAAGTGAGCCTTGCACAAGTAATTCCAAATCATTAAATGCTGGACTGTGTTCTCTATGACTCTTACCACATTCATTAACTCTACAAATTTTATTCCAAAAAGAAAAGCTACCAGCTTTGTACGGTCTTTTATATACAGGGTGTCTATAATTTATTCACCTGATTATGAAGCTCAATAATACCGAAATTTTCCCTGATAATTTTAGATAACTCAGCATTTCCCAAATTATTTTATAATAAATTCCAAGACCATACACATGCCGAATTATACTGTTTAAATTCCGAGATATTAAATGCCGAGTTATAAAGATTTTGTGGTCCCTCGGTTAACAAATGGTTCGATTAACGAAATTTTGGTTAACGAATTACCGCCCATAAGGATCTTTAATTTGGTTAACGAACAAATCTTCAATTAACGAAGTCCTTAAGAACAACACGTTTTGTTGTGAGCATCAGTTGATGGGCTAGTCTGCCAATTCAATAATCTCTTCTATGTTTATATTCGTTTCCAGTGGAGTAAATATCAAGAAAGTTGTGATCTTTAATATTTTTGCATTTTTTATATTAAAATTATTAGTCATTTTAAAATTTAGTCAACATATTGATAATATATGCAGTACAGGGAACTAGTGTTTTGTGCGCCCATCAGCCGCTTGACTCAGCCACTAGGCGTCAGTTTGGCTTTGTTGACAGTGGAGTGAACATCTATTTTGTTGGTGTCTTGAATATTTTTGCATTTTTACATTGAAATTATTGATCATTCTGAAATTTAGTTAACGCATTGATAATATATAGCGCAGTGCAGTGTTGATTTAAATAAAATAATTTTGAATTACACCTAGTGAACTTATAATTTTATTGGTGAAATGATTGCATCAAGCATGGGTCCCTGAAAGATGATTTCTCCTCCATCCGCACTTACTTCTCTTCTCCCTTCTCATCCACCCCCACTTCTAATTCCCATCATCATCATCCAGGAACCTTCTACATACACACCTCAAAGTAAGTGTACTTTACTGCATTTTTTTTTTACTTTGTATGCACATTTCGGTGAGCTGGAACCAATTACCCAATATCCCATTGAAACAATGGATTCGGTTAACGAAATTTTCGGTTGACGAATGACCCTCTGGAACGAATTGTGTTCGTTAACCAAGGGACCACCGTATTTGCTTCTAATATACATAAGACTGCACTTACCCTAATATTTCTTAGTTCTTGCAAAAGTTTTGATCGTTTAAATGGCTCTAATGGTCTATGAAAATCATCTTCCCTAAAATTCATGAAGTCTTGAATAAAGTTCAGAAGAGGTTGTTCTTTATAGAATGCTGTGTGTGCAACTAAAAATAGAGATAAAATGTTTTAATAACAAGCAAACTAAGCGATTTAGTAGATTTAGAGCTAATGAAATTTTATAATCAATCAATAATTTCATATTTTCTGACTACTGTATAAAGAAATACATGATATTCAGTAATTACAAAACTAAATCTCAAGCAAATGTGCTATATATCAACAAGACTGGCACATTACAAGACAAACATGTATATACTCGTACAATCATACCATCAATATTCAGTAAGAGAGATCCATCCTTCCAAGATGCAGGCCTCATCGACCCAAAAAAACCAGTCACACCTTCCTTGCCACATCCAATTGGATATGGCGTTCCAAACTCTCCTCCTGCCGAGTAGAAGTTACGACGACCAACCAATTCATACTTAATGGCCCGATAATGACGAAACATTACTTCAACCATCTGTAAAATACTCAAGAAAACAAACAAGATAAAGTTAATATCTAAATTAACCCAAATTGTTAAAATTATATACTGTATATCAGGATTCATATACAGTATACCATTACTGGGCCAGTGACATCCATCTCCATCAAAAATTCATCTTGAAAGTTTCTTGTAATGTGTTATACATATCAGTTTTACTGTACTGTACTGTATAGGCTGTCCTCACTACATATTTTCCATTAATACCCATATGTATTTTCATAAATACATATGACTGATAAACATTTTTTCCTGTCGTGTATATTTCAGAAGCCTTACCCTAATCTACTTTGGATCTCATGGCTCAACCAAACAAGGTTCACTACACACGTCCTAATATTTTACCAACAGGTCAGGGACTTGTCCTTATATTGAGTAGCTAGTGTTTTGGGTAACTTTTATCTTGTGCTTTGTTATATAAACGAAAAACAATAATATAGGCATTTTTTCTTTTTCCATCATTGGAAGATACTGACAATGACACAGACACCTGTCGGTAGTGTGAGACAGAAAAAATCTGAACACATTAGAAATGATGGTCCCTACTCAAAATAACCTTTTGATTGCTTTTGTCAGCTACCCTTGGTCAAACTGCATAAATATTATTAGATCCCTGATAATTAAGTTTTCATTGCACTCAACATATTTCACCTGAAAAAGGTCTTTTTTTTATTAAAATGAATTTCAGTATACCATTTTGGGACCATGGATCATAACCCATTTTCTACATAGATGCCACTGATTTATTATTGTTAATATTTACAAATTTGTAGGGTCTGTCAAAATCTAACCATGTAGATTAGGCAAAAAAAAAAAAATAAGGGCGGATCCAGTTTTGTGTGGGGGGAACATGGCGAACACAGCAAGCTCACCCGGCTGGAGGGTTTTTTGGGGATAATGTAAGCCCCCCCCCCCCCCACCGATTTTGTTTTTTAAATCTGACCAATGTCATGGGCATTTTGAAGCCATTTTGAAACCATGTTCACTTGATATTAGGAAATATTCTGAGGTCAATAGTACAAGTAATTACATTTTACTATACAAAAATGCCTGAGTACAGTACTGTGTTAAAGAATAAGTATTCAAATTTTCTGATGAAAAGGGGGGTCCAGACCCCCAGGACCCCCCCCTGGATCCACCCCTGAAAAAATATATAAAAACTAGGTAACTTATATTAACCTGAAATATGTTTAATGGAAGTGTCTTCTGTTCACGAGCAGAGCAGTTAAGTGCCTCCGTAAGTTCCTGGAGGTTGGCACGATGTCTCACCATTAGTGAAATTTTGTATTGTGTCCTCTTGCCATCTGATTCCTCAAGGTCAATCTTTGGTGAAAAACCAAACAACAGATAAATTAGAATGACAAAGCCTCTGTGCCTGGGTGTGTTCATAAAATTTTGGACATATATGGAAAATTACAGAGTTTAGATATTATTAAAACTCAAGGGTATATGAATGATAGAAGTCGAACTGTCACAAACAATTTTAATAGCAAAACATTACGAATTATGAGCGATTTTGAATATGAGGGATACACTTGTTTGATTGTTTGTGGTAATTTCATCCCTTGCAAAGCAACAGCGTGGGTAATATGTCGTTGAATTTAAAATAAAAGCTTAAGACTAATATCAAGCATTGCAAGGTAAGAAACATAAATAATAAACAGTAGCATAAAACTTTTGTAAAAAACATTTAAACGTTAATAGATGAAACTCAAAGCTTGTGCAGAACACCAGCTTCCTCCAGGAAGGAAAGGACGTCCCCTCCCATGCTACTCACTCCCTCCCCCAGCACCAAAGACAGATCGTAAGACTCATCTTCCCCCTGGCACTGGGAGAGATGCTTCCGACGAAAGATCTCCGAGGCTAGGGCACTCCACCAGGAGGTGTTGAACAGTCAATGGGACGGGGGCACCCTCTCCATTAAAAAAACCATGAGTCCGTCGTGTGGCCAATGCAGAAGTAGGCCAACGCAGTCTCCCAGTGGTGCAATGGTCCCTAATGTCCCCAGGCATCCAAAGCAGGGTGGATATCGTCGAGGTTGTTTGCTCCGACAGCATCCTACCTGCATTGCCAACTCGAGCGGATGGATGGGAGCTCTTATTACTGGCTTCATATCAGAGGCAGGTAGAGAGGAATGATGTGCCACAGGGCGAGAAGCAGCTGCTTTCGACACAGACTCACCACGGGGGTAAGAATTATGGTGTTTTTACTGTACATTATGTTTTATATCCTGCTGTTATAATGATTAAAATTTCATACAGAACGTGAAAAACTAGATAAATAAAAGAAATCAATAGCAGATAGTCAAAATCATAGTGTAAATAAAAAAAATGTCCCCAGATTTGGTGTGGATCGTGGAAGTAGGTGGGGGTTCAGTGTTGGGATCACAGTCAAGCCATGAGCTGCGTGAGTTATTTTTCAATTTGCCTTTTCGGGTAAATAATTTTTTTCATACTATTACATGCACACACAATCATTCATAAAGAATGTGAAAAAAATTTACGTCCCCAGAAATGTTGGGAAGGATAGCGCCACAGTG